ATTAACACCGTCCGGAGCGGTAGTTTTTTTTTGTGTACATAAAAAACGCTGTTTTTTAGCCGATATTTATTTTATTTATTAATGTATGAAAAACCAATGCTATAGCTGTAAGTACTAGACATGTATACTATTATACATTGTATAAACAGCCATCATACGACGTGTTCTTGTGCGATTTTTGTTGAGCTTTTTTATATTGTAGTAATATTATACATGTTATTGGTTATAAGTTAGAATACTACCGAGTAATAGGGATTTGACTTTTGTTCGAGCCGCGTTTTCTCTAATTATCGATTTATTCACACCCTCTTCTAAAAACCCCTTGCGATTTCCATAACGCGCACCCGAATACTCCTTTATAGAGTTGCTCGGCCGATTTTTAATTTTTTATATTATTCATCTGACAAACTAACCGGCAGCGTGGCCCGTTCTAGGAGATCAGATTTTTAGCTGTTGTGAACCCGCAAACGATTCCGGCGAGAGGAAAGAGGTGATCAAATATATTGTATTGTTTTTCAATGCATAAGCTTTTAGTCTAAAATATGAAACGGCTAATTCGCCAATTAAATCTAGAACGTTTAGTTTAGTGTTTCTTTATTTTAAAAATGTCTTTACTTAATAACAATAATTGTCACAATATTATAAAATAATATAACATACTATTATGTTTTGCAACGATATCAGACTAATTTAGACTAATAATTACATTCATTTAAATTTAGATTAATAAGCGAACCGCTCACATTAGCACTTGGCGTTCGGTATTATCGATAATTAAGAAAATTAATTAAATAATAGTAATTTCCGACCAATTTCTTCGTGATAACTGATAAGTACACAAGACATTTTTGGTCACAATAATTACATTTCGCGGAAACGATATTATTACACCTATTTCTTTACCATCACTTCGCACGTCAATAATAAGATATTTATTTGCTTAAATAAATATGTATATATAATATATTGTTTATTTGCTTATATGTAAAATGTTATTAATCGAAGCACGTGTAAATATTTTATTACAGATAAATTATAATTGACATGTTTAATAAACAATCTATAATAATAATAATCGTTAACATTAAGAAGAATAAATAATAATAAGTAGAATGATGATATCTCATGCGAGCGCGTGCAGACACTGTTTCCCATACCCATATTATACTACAATAATAATAATAATACATTATGGTGTAACATCTTGTAATCCATTGATAATAATTCCATGTGTGTTTGCCATAACTATCAATTTATATTATTTTAAGTCAATAATGAGTCAGTTACAAGTATAATCTTAAATTAAAAAATAACCATTTTATTTTTTTAATTACATATTTGTCCTAGTTATTTTTTATTTATTTTATTACTAAGTACTAGTATACAGTTTAGGGTACTTAATATACTATATTGTTTTTTGTCCAGATAGTATGAGACATATTCTGTACGGCCGTTGATTTATTAGTTATTTTATTGACGAAATTTAAATCCATTTTCTTTTTTTGTTCTATTATTTGATGAAATTCGATAATCGGTACCGAACAAATGCACTTTAATTTCGTTTAAGTTTTATACGGGTGGGTTTTCAGAGCCATACACGTTCGTTGATTACACATTCTTTACATATCTTTTTACAACCATTATATGAAAGAAAGTCATCGAATCTTTTCGAAAAGCCGATAGTCTCATTTTCTGTATGAAATATTGTCACGATGACGAGTTGTCGCGATAAATGTTAGGCGGTGCACGTTATTTTTGACAAAAGGTTCCTCGAGTTAAGTACCTACAGTGTTGTGGGCATGGACAACCGGCAAAACCTTGTGCTTTACGGTCTCTCGCGAACGAACACGGTTTTTTGAAAACGGGAGTTTCGTTTTTTCAACGGTAAAAAAAAAAACCCAATTTATTCCGAGTGTATTGACCTGGCCGGGGCTGTCAGGAAGTACTGCTACTGTTGTTGTTAATAACAATTTGTTATTATTAGCAGCCGCGAGAACACCCCCTCGACCGCCGCCGCCGCCACCTCTTTAATAGCCGTTTGGCAAAGAAAAAAATATTTCCCTGTTCGACGTGTTTCGCACCTTTGCGTTGAACTCTCCAAGACGCGTGTGTTAAAGAAGACGCTACCGGCAAAGGCCGTATAAAAAGTATTCGAGCGTGGATCTCGTGTGTGTGCACGCACACGTGAGCATTATCATAATATATCTGGCCGGGCGATAAATCATAAAGTGGCAGAGGCGGAGGTATATAGTTGCGGTGGTTAGCAATCGAGGATTTACCGAAAAACCGGAATAATGTTTTAAGCGAAGAACGAAGAGGAGAAAAACGGCTGTATATATATTATATAAAACGCTTCCTACTCTTGCTCGCGCGGTCCCGTCACCTGGCCCGGAAAACCGGCGGCGTTTGGCCTACGCCACCACCCCCGGGCTTTGGCGGTGGTTTTTCTAGAGAAAATCAGGGTAGGTTTACATTTTTTACAACTCCCCCACCTCCTTCCACTTGCCTCCTACTCCGCCACCGCCGCACCTGCTCCTCCGCCACTGATCACACGGCCGCCCTCAGCCTCAGCGACCCGTTCGGTATTGATTCGGCGCTCATAAATTACATTTGCCTAGTAAAATGAGAGAACGACACCGCGGCCACCGCTCTGTCATTGGTCGTAGGAGGAAGAGGAGGAAACGTCGGAGGAGGGTAGCTCGGGGGCGGTGGCGGGGTGCCGGTGGTAGGCCTGGCGGATGGGTGAACGGTCGCTACTCCGCCGCGGAGTGTACATATATATGTATATATTTATTATACTTAGATGTATATATAGGGGACGAAAAACGCCGAAGTGCTCGATACCCCGTGGGTAAGGTATGCTTCGTCGTGTATAGTGGGAAAGACAGAGAGGAGACGAGAGCGAGAGTGGCAGTGGGAGAGATGGGGAGATAGGGAGAGCGTGAGAGTGAGGAAGAGCGTGAGTATCAAAGCGGGCGATGGGTGAGAAGGGTCGGAGGGATTCCCGGGATCCTGTGCGAGTGGGGACCAAAACGGAATGAAAGTTGAATAACAATGTTCACTATTTATAGTAGTGTGTTAAAACGAATTAAATTTTTTAGCGGCACATGCGCGGCGGCCTAAGCGGGTCGGCACGGGGGGCGGCCGCTTTCCGAGGGCGCGCGGACGAATTTAATGATTTTTTTTCTCTTTTGCTTTTATCCCCTCCCCTCTATCGCGCGCGCCCTTATCAAGGGGTTGCCGCCTACCCCTCCGGCTCGTCGGCCCGGGGCCGGGCGGTGCGAATTCCGGTTACAAACGCCGCGCGCGGGAGTCCCGCGGGTGGGCGGACCGGGCCGGGTAGGCCGGGGCGGTAGGGGAGGGGGACCCACTCTCTCTCATTAAACTGTACGAATATGCAATTTTACTTTCTCGGTTTTTACCCCCTAGTAGTTTATTGCTAGTCATGTTTTTGAGTTGTCTATAGTTCCGCCGCGCGGGCTCTCGTCAACCGCATCATCTCCGTCGCAACCGCCGCGGGCACGCACCGCACATACACGCATTGGCACGGCCGTCGTCGTCACCATACACTGTCCGCGCGACGATCACGCGCTTAATTAACAACACCGTTCGTAATTAATTAATTAGTAATAATTAAAAATTAGTCGTTTAGTAGTAGTTTTAAAAATTTTGTTTTTCGTCCGAGAATTTTTTTTTTTTTTAACACATAATATACAAATAATAAATTCGTAGTCTGTCTTGTTGTTATTTTTGACTTAGATAAAAAAAATATATACATTTTTTTTTTCGTCTCTTCTTCGCGCGCACATGTGGTTTTTTGACATGCCTGCGGCGGCCGTGCAGAGTCGGTGGTCGCCGACGGTGATCGAGTGGTGTTCAGCTCGCGTCGCCGGACTTTAAAGGAAAATCACAAACAAAAATCAAAACATAAAACTTAAAAAAAAAAAAAATAAGGTAAGCCGTCGAGTCTCGTGTTGTTGTTATTGTTGATGTTTATGTTATTGTTATTACCGCGGCCGCCGCCGCCGCCGCCGGTGTACCGCTCGACGGCGGACGGTCGGTACTCGGCGGTAGTAACGGCTATAGAACGCGAAGACGTCGAGCGGTGTGTACGTGTGGTCGAGCACCGGCCGGTGAATGAATGGGCGCCCCGTCCCCTCACCGCCCGCGCCGACACACACGACGGCCGTCGTGTAGTTTCCGATCCGCCGCCGCCGTCCCACCTGTTCGCCTCGGCCGCGGTCTCTTGCGTGTGTGCATGTGTTTCGTACGACGGACATGATGAGCGCGCGAAGAGGGTGACCCCGAGCCAAGAGATAGCGGCGGAGGCGACGGCGGACACCGTCTCGGCGATGACCCGACGCGATTATCTCAGTCGCCCGCCGCCACCGCGTGATATCAACACTTACCCCCGGTAACACCGCCCTCGGCGCTTTTTCTTTTTCTCAACCGTTTTTTTTTTTATTGTAACTATAGAAAAACTAAACATATATAGATTTACGTATGAGTATATATAAAAAATATACCCATGCACCGCGATAAAAACTCGGTAGGAAAAAATGCGGCTCGCAAGGCTTTTTGTTTCCGTAAATTATTATTCACTTCCGGGTTACGGCGGGACGTCGAGACAACCGGCGTGCGCGCCTTTACCGGCACACCGTGGCGGCACCGGCGTTTTCCCGCCGTTTCCGTCCACAGCACATGTTCAACGTGCCACATTTTCTCCGTACGTACTCGCCACCGTATCTCAGCAAAAAAACCAGAATTCGTTTACAGAATTATACTATCCTAATTTATTTAATCGATTAACAAAATAAACAGAAAAAAACCACCCTACTTTTTCCCCCCACCGCATTAACTTCTTTCGTTACCACCAGCGTCGTCAACGATTCGTTCTGGTTTTCGATAGCGTCTTACACAAAAAATATTGTAATAATAATAATAATATATATACATACAAAATTCGTTGTCGCACTAACGGGTTATTTTTTATTTTTAAGGCGGGACAGTGTCAGCCGAGGCCCGTCGCGTAATGGGCGACCTGCAGCATTTTTGCCTGCGCTGGAACAACTACCAGAACAGCATAACCACGGCGTTCGAGAATCTCAGGGACGACGAGGACTTCATTGACGTGACTTTGGCGTGCGACGGCAAGAGCCTGAAAGCGCACAGAGTCGTCTTGTCCGCTTGCAGCCCATACTTTAGAGAGCTGTTGAAAGTATGTAGTAAAATTTAAAAATAAAACCCCGACCACGTACTGTTATAATACTAGTAGCTCTAATATGATATAATTATCGTCATTGAACAGAGCACACCGTGCAAACACCCGGTAATCGTGTTGCAAGACGTGGTGTTCGATGATCTACAGGCGCTCGTCGAGTTCATCTACCACGGTGAAGTGAACGTGCAGCAGAGGAATCTCAGTTCGTTCCTGAAAACCGCCGAGGTGCTCAGGGTCAGCGGTCTCACCCAACCGTCCGATTCGTCTGCCAATGATGTATGTATTATCACAAGTACTCCCATTTTGTTGACATTCCACCGCTATTAAATATCGATATCACTTTTTCTTCTCCTTCGTCTCCACCATCTCAATGACGTGACTGCGAAAAGAAATTAATTCCATCCGTGTGTGGATTGTTGCTCTTGTTTATAAATAGAATTCAGCGAGACAATCATCCGAGACACCGCCGGCGCCCGAAACCTCGTTCCTGTCTCCAGCCAATCAAGCGCCCGAGGGCAGGCTGTCCCCACAAGTCAGGCAGAGAAAAAGCTTTCCACAACAATCACCGTCGTCCATACCTTCGCCCCGTTCAAAGGTTTGTACTACCCTGGCTAAATCTTATTGTTACCGTGCTGTTTAAGTGGCGCAACCCAAAAAAACTCCATGACGAGGGGTTAAAGGGGAAGGAAATGGGGAGGGGGGGCTAAAAAGCTAATTACAACGTCTAAACCGGATCCCAGAAAATCACTTCAACATGCGCCACTGACAACAGCTGTAAATAGTGTGTTGGTGTTGTCATTAATTTTATATTTATATTATATATCTTAAGTCCTAGTATAATAATATTGTGAAATCAATGGTATTATTTAGTATTATATATAATAATTAATTTTAATGTGTTATAATCGGAGGAGGATTTATAGAATGCATTGAATTTCCCATTTGCGTTGATCACATCAATATTTAACAGATATTGACTGTTATTAATGTAGTAAACGATAAGACTGTAAAAAAAAATTACTTTGTAATTCGTATCAATGTGCTGTCAATTCTGCTCTTGCGCGGTGTGGTTATTATAATTTATTCACCACAAGATGTACTAAGAAATGTATTTACATATTATACTCGTGTATAAACTATTCCAAAAAAAGGGTGCGACTCAATAGTGGTTTTTGAGCCGATCGTTTTGTCACCGGTTTGATCGGTCTAACGAATAAAAACCGCGAATGGCCTGACCGGTTGTGATATTATTATTTTTATTATAAACATATTATCTAGTTATGTATATAGTATATGATAATAATTGCTTATCATATCGATTACTAAGTATAGGCGTGAAGGCCCAATCTGGATTTGAAAATAATCCACGCATAATAATTTAAATGTACCTATATAGAAACATTTTTTTAAAACATCGAACAAATATTATTATTCTCATAAAAATTTTCAAAAAAAACAACGACCAAGCAATACATTACTTTTAATTTTCTACTAGCGGACCTCAAACGGCCACTGACAGTGATGTTGAAATAAATTGTTTTAAAATGTCGAAATCGGTATTTATATTTTGTGACTATTTTTTTCTTTTTAAATGTAGCACGTGATTAAAACGCGTTAAAAGTAGTTTACAATTTATATAATATATACGTGCACGCTTTCCACGCCGCCAAAGAGTGTTTGAATCGACGGTCCTTTTATATTTTTTATCGTTACGGGGTGACTAATGTCGTGTGTGGGTCGCACATTTGCATAAACGAATGATCGCAAGAGACACATGGGGCGAGTATATGTGCAGCAGTGTGAAAGGGTATGGTCCAAAGGGATATTTCACCGCGTGTAAAAGGGGTCGTGTGCCGAGTACAAAAGTCGTCGGCCCATTAGACAAGGAGAGGCACGGGGTGAGGTGGGGGAGATGGGGTGTTCGTTAACCACGAGAGAGGAGATCGAGCATTTTTGGAATGCACTGCTGTAAGACTAATTGCCGACGAGCTACATACATGAGAAACGAGGTGTACTTTTTGAAAAACTTTCACTTACATATACACAGGACACGGTTTCAACTGACAAGCACGGCCGGCCATCTCGCATGCCCGCACAGTATATAGGTACATATTAAATATACCATTGCCTCCCCTTCCGGAGCCTGTCAACCCTGTATACCGTGTCCTTGCGCTGGTACACTATATGTATGTATGTTTCCCTGTTGGGGGCCGGTTTAAGAAAAATAAACAAAACGGAAAAATAATAAAATCCCATTTAAAGGTCGTTGTCGTCGTTGCCGGTTGTATTTATTTTGTATTTTTCTTGGACGTCGCCGTAGCGGTTGTTTTGGTGATCTCGGTTTTCGGAAGGACGCGCTTTTAGTAAACAAAATAAAAATAAATTCAAGAAGCCTTTTAATAATAATAATAACAATTATTATTATTACTAGTAATATATTACTCTTATGTTCGTCGCCAACTCTGCCGTCGAATAAATAAAGGAACATTGTTCTGACCCGCCCCCTTTCTAACCATATAATATTTGTTTCAAGTTTCGCTCGCCGGCCTCAAGCGGATTTGTTAAGTCAAGGTCGAAATTAAGGACTAGTAGGCTCTAAAAAACACTTCATGTCGACCGACGTTTGGTTCTTGACAACTTTTGTCCATAAATTTAATCAATATAGACAAATAATTAATTGCAATATTCGAACAAACCTAGTATTGCGATTTATATCCATAAGAACGCAATCACAAATAATCTTAGACGGTTAAAAACGTAGGCGCGATTTCAATAAAACAATTGTGGGTGCTTAAGCTCTGCGTTTTTCAGGTATTTAAATAAAAATTGAAATTAATGAGTTAGTTGGCTCTGGTAGGAAATTTTACAATTATTAACGTGTCACTTACGCCCACGATATTTACACTGTTCGGATCACGCACATTTACTAAACCATTTGGGTGTGACACCACATGATAATAATAATAATACATATTGTTATGTCGTTACCGAATTTATTAAAACCGATCAGCCCCTATTGTAATTGGCGGTTTTGTCTGTTTTTGGAGCTATCGTCGAATTAACACGACCGACACGCGATGATTGACACGGTATTTGAATTCAAGTGATTCCAGGGCATATTCTCTGGATACAAAGGGAAATAAAAAATAAAAAATCTCGCCGACAACCTACCCCGTCATAATATATGAATATTTTATTCGTCTTACATGCAAATAATCTTACCGCACATGTCCGTTTAAATAAAACCAGCATCAAAATATTACAAATTATTGTGAATAATAAAAACCGAAAATATTAAATTGCCATAGGTGAACGTCTTAGAAACGCGATGTCATCAATAATAACTATAGCCAATAGGTTAGAGATAACGGGTTTTTTCATATTTAACAAACATCTGTCGAGTGTGATATAATTAATAAATTTAAATAACATGTAAATAAACTAACAGGTTTTTGTTTGTTTAAAATTAAAACGTCAAAAGTGTAAGAAAGTCGATAAATTATAATAGGTACAAACATTGTTGGTAAACGGTCAAGTAATCATTCTCCTACGTTATAAACATGAAATAGTTTTTATCAGGCATTTATTAATAGCAATAATATAACCTAACCTAACCAACAAATATACCAATAAGGAGAACTTTTCAAATACTGATTGTTTGCGAAAGGAGTGGGACGACGCTGTCGCTTGACTAAACGAGCATTAATTTTCAAAGTATCGTTATGTTATGTTAAATGAAAATTTATATGCTACCGATTATAAAATTTAAAAAAACTTGGGACAAGAATTTTATATACATGAATTGAAACGACCGTACGCCTAATTGCTATGTCGCTATCTAAGCCGTAGAGTATGTATTTTGTTTTTGAATAAAAGATGATATTATACAAGTCTGTCGCGCCGCTATTTTGTCAATAGAGACAACGAGTGGACGGGAAAAAACCAACCTTACTTAAAAAATCAGTTAAAAAAAAGAAAAAAGAAGTTCTAAAAAGTTGTTCTCGAGGGCGGCGACCGTGGTTTTAAACATAATAGCTTTTTCCCACAAGATCTCTTTTTAGGATAAAGTAAAGCGCCTATTGACCATTTAAATGTACAGGTGTATATCGCGATGAAACCCGATATAGTTTTACATTGGCTCAACTAGAGGTGGAGGCGGTGAGAACCGTTTTTTGAAAGCCCTCGAAGCTCCCACAGAATTTGGGTAAAAATTAAAGACGTTACATGGGAGCTGTACGCCCGATTGGTTGCCGACATATTTGTAGAGCTTGCGTGGGAGTTTATTCAATAGGATTTAAACTTTCCTAGCTTCCCCCCCCCCCGCCCTCCCCATCTCGCCAATGGATTCTTGTCGAGTGTGTTTTATGGGGAATTTTTGGTTTTTGAGCAGCGTGGTTTTTTTAAAATTTTTCTTTTGGTTGTTTGCAGGAAAACTCTCCGATACCCTTAAAGCGCACTAAGACCATGTCGTCGGGATGCGGCATTGATCTGTCTGAGAGGTCTTCCCAACACAGTCCCAGTTCGGCGGGCAGTCGACCCAACTACAACGACGACGACGACCCGGGCGACCGGTCGGACGGCGGCGGCACGGGCACCGGAAGTGTCGGCCACAACAGCAACGGCGATGAGCCTCCGATGGATTACTCGCGGACGTATCAACACCAGCAACAGCAACAGCAGCCGCAGCCGCAATACCAACAGAATCAGCAGCAGCAGACGCCGGCGGCGGCGGCCGCGGCAGTGGCGGCCGCGACGCTGCAGGACGATATGGCGCAGAATCTGATGGTGCCGCGCAGGGTCAAAGCCGAACCGGTCGAGCACAACAGCACGTACGGGGACGGCAGCAACGATTCAGCGGCCGACTTTACGGGCGTCCACCCGGCCATCGGCATGTCCGAGCCCGACGACACGTCCTACCAGATCCATCATTCGTACCTGGACAGCAAGTTCTTCGCGGCCGCCGGCGCCACTTTCAACTTCAGCATGGCCGCCGCGCTGGCCGCCGACTCACTAGCGGGTAAACACGTTTTCTTTCATTTAAAAAATATTATGTACTACTGGAACTAACATGGGCAATGTTAAATTTTGGCACAGCTAAAAATTAGAAACGTTGAAGATCATTCGGCAAAATTGGCCATTTTACAGGATTATTTATGTTTTTTTCATTTTCTCTCTCTCTATTAAAACTTTGTAAGAAAAACAATTTAATGACTTTTTTTATCGACTGTGTGAATCGCGATTATATACCGGTTGTCTAGACGTGGCAAATTCCTTATAGGTTCCACCGCTTTGATATAGTATACTTGTATACCCACTACAATAGATATATATTTTAGATTTTGGCTGTTATGCTAAGTCCAAAATCGACCGTGGCCTACACCGGTCCTATGACGTAGTTCGAAAATAATTATTATTCGAGATTAATTTTCTGGAGGAAACCGGTTCGTTTTTTGGTTGGCCCACCCGGCGAATTTTTCGCATGAAACCACCGACTACTCATGTTAAAATATAAAGTCCATAATATCATAAGTAATAATATTCCAAACGACCGTCGCTGGTTAAAAAAACAAAAATAGAAGCCAAAAACTAGTCGAGGTCAGGGAGTAGAAGGTTTTTAGATTTTTTTGAAAATTTATGAACTCAAAGATTTTTGCATAAATTATCACCATATCATATACTTAATACATCAACCTACAGCACAAATAGTTGTCGTTGGGTATTTTCTGTTTTTTTTTGTGCGAAACACATTTTTGAAATTCTTGATATTATTATATATATGTATGTAAACTTATTGCTAAATTGTATTAACAATATTTATTTTGGAAACCGAAGTTATGTTTGGTTTTTTGTATTTTTAAGTTCATCATTTTTAGTGTAGTCGTTTTCATTATTTTTGTTAACAGGTCTGAACAATCACAACCATACCAATGCGATAGACACTCTCGGAGGTTCCACGTCTCAAGGTAAGAACAGTGTATTAACATAATCTATTCATACAAAACATGATTAATTATTTACCGTTTGAACGCCAAAAGGTACGCATTAAAAAATTCCTCAAACGTATTTGAGTTGCCCAAAATTCTTCTGACCGCCACAAATTGTGTTTACGCAACTGACGCTTAAGGCGTTTTTCTAAAAAAAATTTCTCCTTGCAAATATAACGGTTGCAGTGGAAACCGCAAATTCTTTTGACACTTGAAACACATGTCATTGGTCAAAAAGCCAAATAAATAGGTCCAGACGGTATTTAATCAATAAGTCAATGGCTAAGAGACCAATAATGATAAATGTTCACTTTTTCAAAAACTATTGATCGTTAGTCTGTTGAGTAAACCCGGGTAGTTTCTACGACGGAACTAGTCCAATACCATGCAAGATATGAAAAATAAAATAAAACAATACTAGTAGGTAATCAAAAGTAATAAAAAAGATTAGAAATTTGTCTATGGTTATAATTTTGTAACAAGCTAAATGTGTTTTTTGAAAATATAATTGTGTTTCATTTTTGGTGAGGTTGTCGACTTTCGTATCCTCTTGTTAAGTTACCAATTTTAGTGGCTCCCGTGAGAAATCAGCTATTCTAGTGATATAATACATTATGTATGTTATGGAATCTCGGTAGTATTCTGTTTAACTTTAATGTTTAAAGACGAGCAACCCCGGGTGGGTTACAACCCCGTTTTGTGTTTTTAAACGTTTTTATTTTTGAACAAAAAAAAAACAACAAACTTGTTGACGGTTTTTTTATTTGGCGCTGACTTTACTGATGTTGTTTATGTTTTGTTGTCTCCCTAGCAGCCCGTCAACTAATCCGCGGCACATTTATATAATACACATAATATTTAAGTGTTTAATAGTAAAAATGTCAGACGTGAATGAAAATAACTGGTTTTCGACAGCGCAATAACATTTTGTTGCAATAACAAACGAAAAATCCGTTCAGTCGTCGTGTTTACATTATATATTTTATTATTACTCAAAAGCTAATTTACCCGCACATTTCCGGTATAAGCTTTCACTCACCGATCGTTGTACTGTACTGCAGCATATATAGGCACATGGCGGGTAGCAGCCGCAAAGGAGAGAGAATTGCTCATTGAATATTTTAGTTTTGGCCGACCCAATTTACTACGGCGAGGATCGACGACCTCGAAGTGGAAAATAAAAACATTAAAATTATTATTATTAAAATATTTTGCTCAGAATGAACGATGATGTTTTTTTTATTTTTCAATAAAACTACTCGCAGCCAAAATAAACGTTACGCTCTACATCGAAGGCGGTGTTTACTTTTAGTACTTGCACATAAAAAAAAAATGTTTTGAGAAACACCATCCCTTTTTTGATAAACCATCGATTTGCCTCGGCGAGTCCGTTGAAAAAGTTAACTTGACGTTTAACCATCATTTAAATTGGCAGTTTTAATGTAATATATAGGTATATATATATATATATATATATATATATATATATTTAAACAGTACAACCATTTCTTTGGCGCCGGGGAAAAATGGTTGATAGTGACAAATTTTTCATGAATGACCATTTGAATGTTTTATTTTTCAAAAGAATTCGAATTTATAGGAATGTAATTTTGTATTTCTGCTCTATTATAAACAGTCTCGCACTCTAAACCTTGTTGTCCAGGCACCATCGATTTGTGTATACTCAACGGCCGAGCTATCATAACTATCAACATTCTTACAAAAATGTTTTCTAAAGAATTGCACAATCAAACTAGATTTAATGAATCTAATAGCTAATGGCTCTAATCCGTAAACCGCAAAGGACCAAAACAATTTACTTTTTTTAATTAAAACAGAATATTCAGCTTCAAAGAAAATTTAAACTTAAATACTTAATTTAAAAATAAATATTAATAAAACAAAACTTAAAAACCCTAGATCAACGCTGGTTTTTATTTTGAAGACATTCAATTTCTTTCTGATTATAATTCTTTTACTTGATGGTTCATAATATGAGAGATTGAAAACGTTACCAATCCAAAATGTACACTATTTGTTATATCTACCACACTATTAAAACGATTGGTATTATGACAGTCTGATAGCTTAACTAATTTTGAACATTTTTTAATCACGTACTGCCGTTTGGAACTAAATTTGTATAAAATAATACTTTTCTGGAATGATTGTTCCAAAACGGCGTAACTTAACTTTAAAATCTTATTTATTGACTATTTTTTCAAAAGTCGAGAATCTACTTCAATTGATCGACTATCATACCACCAACTACCTTCAAACATTCTCGATACAATAACATTAAGTAAATGAGTGAGTTTTGAGTGAAACTATAAGTGTAACTTAAAAAATCCTCACTTTCAAGTAATATTTTGTATTGGCATCTGGACGGATGGCCGACTTATTCTGTGGGTAATATGGTTCGACCGAGTAACAATTGTTGTTGTAGTTTTTTTTTATTCAACCGCGGTAACCGTAAAACCTGAAACCGTGGATTTGCAATCACACCGCTCAAGCTTATTAATAATATACTGTGTGTTCGGCACAACCGTTTGGAAGTACTTGCTAAATTATAATAATTTTATCCGTCGCAAAGAGAAAAGGGGCTCCGGTCGACTATGACCTTACTAAAAAAAAAAAAACACCGTCTGTCAATCGGATTTTCGCAGACTAGTATTGAAACATTATTTTTTTTTATTTAACCAGACGTTTCTCTCTATACGAATTCGTTATGTGTATACAAATAATGATTTTTTATTTTATTAGTTGCATCAACGACACGGTTCTATTATTATTTTATATATATATATATATATATATTGTTTTTTAACTGGCGGTCAAAATAATAATAATATTGTCATACCCATCGCCGCCGAGTGACACGTGATTTTCGTCTTTCGGTCCGGACCGTCTTGTATTTGTGTGTGTGTGATATTGAAAGTGTAAAATGTATCTACAAAATGTATCTATAATATGTTTTATAACGTACTATAATATATATATATTTTCATCTTATATACAAGTACTTAGTGTCTACTACTACTATTACTATTACTACTACTACTACTACTGTGATCTGTTTTCAAAATCAGTTCGGTGTTGTTGTTTTTTTTGTTTAATTGTTATCTCAAAACGGTTATAACTTAAATAAATGCACACACGCATAATCATATCAGCTCTATATTTTATAGAATAAATATATATATAATATACCTTTATATAAATATATATATATATATATATATACTTATATTATATTATATAAAATATAATAAACAATATATCTATATATATATACATATATATACTTAACATTATAATATAATATATGTAAAATAAAAAAATAAAAATTGGAGAAAAACAAAAGGAGTGACCGGCTGTTATTATTGTGCTGCAGACTGGTCAGAGGCTGGTGGAGGAGTCGGCGGCGGGGAGACGCTGTCCTGTTTCGTTTGCGGCAAGCGCTTGAGCACCAGGTTGACGTTGAAGCGGCACATCGAACAGCAGCACAACCAGCCTCTGCACTCGGCCGTCTGCAACGTGTGCAACAAAGTGTTCCGCACGCTCAACAGTCTCAACAACCACAAGAGCATTTACCACCGCAAACCCAAGGCGTATAAGGCGACCGTGGCGGCGGCGGCGGCCGCGGCAGCCACGGCGACGTCCACGACAAACCTGCCGCCGCTGGCCGTGTGGTACAATAACAACAACAACAACAACAACAGTAACAACAACAACGACGACGACGACGGCAACTGACGAACGCCGTTGCTCGTGCAGAGGACCGCCTGAGAAGACTGTAAGTGAGACACGCCGTCCTCGCCGCGACCGACAACCCGGACAACAGTATTATTACATTCAATTATTATTATTATTATTATTATTATTACCTATTAGGTATTATTTATTTACGAATACTAAATAAGCGGTTTGTTATAATATGTATCCGCCACGACTGCAAAGTGCAATAATGATATTAATAATATTATTAAAAAACAAAATGTATTTTTTAAAGTAAATCGAATTGGTAGCGTTTTGTTTTGTTTTGCGAACGGTAATATCGCATTTTCTTAATTTTATATGTTCTAATGTAATATTCGGTAGATATTATAGCGTCCGTCATTTTGTATATTGATGGCGTGTTGAGCATAAAATATTAATTTTTAAGAATAATTTTATATTACTAAAAAAAATCGTGTACACGACGTTATGATCGATGATAATAATAATAATAATAGTATTATTATACTCGTAGACTGCGGCCTTTGTGCCTTTACAATATTTATGTATATATTAATATGTTACATTATAGTGTTTATACAAAATTATATTATGTAGTCTGTACCAACCGTGTTTGAATGCGTAACGATCGGTGGTTAGAACATAATATTATAATCTCGTCTAGTGAAAGAATAACAAGTTTTTCGCTCGGTTTTGTTACATTTTTTTTTTATATATATATTCGTCCGACCAAAATAAGACCTTCTATAATATATTATAATAAATGGTATAAAGCTCGTAGTGCTAATCGAACGTATGTAAATGTTTAGCATTATTTTTTGTACTAAAAATCTAATAAAAAAAAACCGATCTATATGAAGAAAATATTTGAATATTTTTTTTAATCCTTTATTTTTTTTTTTGTAATTTCCCGAATCGTTTTCGTTTTGTTGTGTATCATTGTGATGTTTACATGTTGTTAACGGCGGAAGAACCAGCGACCTTTTTATATCCTCGACTACACTGCACACTGTCAACGGTAGTATTTGTGAATAACGGATCAGACGGTGTTGTATTTGTTGAGAAACGCTTTACACAGTTCCCTTATACGTTCACCAAATCTTGAGCAATTAAACGCCCCTCGCTCACTATTGCACTAAAAATGAATATGGGTTTTTGAATTTACAAAAATGCACACACACACACTTGTACACAGACGCTTTGTAAACGTTATTAACGCGTTTATCGATCAAGATGAAACGATAGTATTATACATTATAATATTTTTATCTCGATAATCCTTTAACACTATCGATTTTTTAAAACTAAAATTTGGCGAATCAAATTCAAAAGATTCGTGCCAGTGGAAAAATAATCGAGTGATAACACTACTACTTTATGTTACAAAATTGGGTTAAGTAAGTTTAGTCTGTTTCCTAGTTAGACGGACGATAATGCCAGTTTTCTTCGATAAATTGTCCACGGCTATATTGTATAGTACACAGTCTATAGTAGGATCTATAAATGTAGTCTTATACTGCGGCGGCCGTTTAACCATCACATGTCGATCACGATTACAGTATTAAAATTACGTTTATTGCGCCACGTTAAAAATTTTAAAACACTGTTTGAGCACGAAAAATAAAAATACTGGAATAAAATAATATAATTGTTGTACAAATGTTGGGATAAAAAAAAATGCATAGGTACACGTTTGGAGATAAATGCTGAGCCGAGCGGTGCGGACCGATCTTTGCGTTTCCATTGTTATTATAATATTCTTTAATCTGTATTTTGTATTATGATATACGTATCGTGGTTTACACGTACTGCAGACATATACTACTTAGTACATAGTGATTAGTGACGGTTGTTGCTACAGAGAAAAAACAAATTGCCGTTTTCGAAAAGGTTTCCACCAGACGACAATGGGGCCCGCAGTGAGCGGTCGAATGTCGAATAATAAAAAAAAAAGCCAAAAAAAAAAACAATACTATAATAACCGACCGAAAACGATATTTTTGGTTTTTTGCAAATTACGGGCCCGTTGAGTATATTATTTTTGTACTTACCCATATTATTGTTATACTTACCCGGTACCCACCGGCCGCGCAAAACCAACAAAAATGTACTCACCGCGGCCGTTGTTGTTTCTTTACTTGGATTTTTTTTATTATTATTTAGCTTCCATGTTTGTCTACGCTTATGTGTTTTCGGTCGGCATTATTTTGGTTTCTGCATAACGATAATATTATGTTAGGTTTCGATGGACAAAAAAAAAAAAAGAACCCATTAAAATTATTTGGATTACGCCGCCTTTTTAATAAACTGTTTATTCAAAAGGCGTCTAACTGAAAATAAACAGTCCTATAATGTTTGTCACCGAACGGTACTTAAAAGCAGTAAGCTTAAGCCATTGGTGTGTGCTTAAACAACAAAATATGCGGAAAGTACACACCCGCACTTAGTATTATGTAATTTAGTGTATTTGCCAACGGCGATAATGTCTCAGGCTTAGAGGCGGGTATCTTGTTATTGGATACGCTACGTTGAGTGTGTTTCTGAACTTGTATTGTCCAACACAAAAAAAAATGTTACTTTGGCCGCGGTTGTATGTATTCCGTCTTGGCGATGGTAATCGAACTGACTTTGATCGTATCGAATCGTTAGTGGAACTCAGTCACGCTTCAGTATATACATTTTGCGTTGAGTTTGGTCAGTAACCTTATTTTTTTTTTTGGACAAGGACGCCGCGCGTTGCATCAAACGATCAATAATCGACAACTACCATTTTCAAATCGACATTCTAAGTATTAGGCGGTACCTAGGCGGGATAAAAATGTAAATGGGTCAACCGTCAACGTATGTCATATTGTTTGCATTGACCGACAATGGCACGATAACGCTTTACTACTTTTGGAACTTAAAATGCGCGTACTCGATAGCTCAAATCCATTTCCTACTGAAATAACGGTTTATTTATTAATTAGTTGGTATGTAAAATTTCTGCAATCTGATCGAGGCCGAGATAAGCATAAATTATCAACGCGTTGATCATAGTTGTAACGGTTTTCGCGAATATAATTTTTGATGTAATATGTTTTGCTACTATTGAAAACAAAGAATCGAAAAAAATTATTTGCCGAGTAATTAATGCATTTGAGTTAATCGTATTCAAGTTATCAATATCGCGGTAGCCGTTTTGAGTATTAATTTTGAGTTTGATCATTAAAAAAAAAAAACGTCCGGTTCACTTATAATTTTGCTTATTTATTAGGTTGAAATTTTTACATTCTTGTAGACTTGAGTTTTGCATTTTTCATTGTCCGTCTTCTGACGCTGCGCTAAAAAAATATCATACCGTCTTTACCTTGAGTCTCGACGCATTGTATTTGCTGAGAAATTTATATGAAATTATGTTGGCGATTATAATTCCAGAAAAATAATAATTTAAACACTGGTCTCGAGCCGTGGTTTTGAAACACGCGTTAACGACCCACAAGTCTTGAGGGTTTACGAAAATATAGACAATACAATATAATATTACGAACGCAGTAATTAGTGCAACCAAATGGAATGACATTTTCAAGGTTTAACGTTGACCGTATTAAAGTTATAAAAAAAAAATCAAAACTCGTCTAGTTTTTTACATAATGTAATGTATCAGAAAAACTCAAAATTTCTAAACAGCTTAACGCATATAATGGTAGTTGGTAATACGTTAACCATAAACTGTACATTTGTTGTTTTCGTTTTAAACAGGGGGGGGGGAGGCACACGCCCTCAGTTCAATAAGATATTATATTGAATAGGACACTCTTCACATATTACTATTATTACTATTATTATTATATTTATGTGCTTAAAAAACGACACAACGAACATAACGACTCGCCTAAAGGAAATAATTGTCAAGACTATTAAAATTGTTGTTTTGTTTGGAAATAGCTTAAGACTAGACGCTAGCTTAGGAACTCTAAAATATAACGTGTGTAATCCACAGCTGGGCAAGCCATTCCACACATTTAAGTAACTCGTTTGCTCACAACGTTGCTGACAAAGTTCCTGTATTTTTGTAACGCGAAAATTACAAAGTTGCTGTTTGCAACTATAGCTAATGCCCTAGCTTCGGTGTAAATGTATTTTTATTAATTTATCGAATTGAAGATTAATTAATTTTTTTAACGATCGTTTATTTTCAAACATTTTGTCTTGGATCGCCGGTTTTGGACGATCAAGTTGTATTATAAATATAGTTGTAGAAGTAATATATTTATATGCGAATCGTCTTATACCTTCGAGTATACAATATATTATAATTCATGGTGTCTTTGACCCGGTAAAAAACTCCCTCCCGTTTCTGACGTAGAAATTTCTTGGTTTTTTTTATTTTTTAATAGAAAACGCAATGTTATTTTTGTACCAAACCGGTTGGCTCGTACCCGCTTGTCGTTTGCAAAAAAACCTATCTAGAACGACCCGGCGGACGCCTTTGGTTAACTTAGTAGCGACATTATATTAAACGGTTTACGGTATTTTTTTATTTTTTTCGTTCAGGACTGAAAAAGGTGTTTCCTTGCTTGGCGTGCGGCAAGGTGTTGTGTTCGAAAGCTAGTCTCAAGAGGCACGTGGCCGACAAGCACGCTTCCAGACAGGAAGAGTACCGGTGTGCCATTTGCGAACGGGTGTACTGTTCGCGTAACTCCCTGATGACGCACATTTACACTTACCACAAGACTAGGCCCACAATGCTGTTGCCGCCCCCTCCCCGTCACGCACTCCCGCCGCCCACCACGCACTCCGACGTCAAGTTCTAGTATTCAATATTCGAAGGTAAGTCGTAAGAAGTTTGTACGTATTATTTTGTATTGTGCTATGTCAAAACGTGTAAACAAACACCGAGATAAGTGAATAATGTAGATATTGCTGCACTGTATAGCTGGCCAACGCATAAGCAGCTGCAGCTGCATACATTACATTGTCCTTATTATATTGTACACGTTCAGTGCACCTAACCTGTCCGTTTATCGCTCGCGCGTTTCGAAATGGCGTAACCAATTTTTTTACATTTTAAATTTCTAACGTAGGTAGAGAGTAGATAACCTTTAGATGTGTTTTAATTATACACGTTGCAGGAAATAATAATGCAATTTGCGATCTCTGATCGATGCGTTTCTAAATATTAATATCTACCCAGAGATATAATTATACCTATATTGAATATCGTATAATATATTGTACGTCTCTATGAAAACGCACAGACAAACCCCAATCCAACCTGATGACCCGTGTGTGATTGCGCTTAGTCATCGTTGTTATAGTATTTGCGGCGCACCCATGTATCTATTTAGGATAATGCAATTATTATATAGAGTACATGATAACAATATAATAGTGTTATATGCCTATAGAAGTTATTTGCAATTGAATTGTTACGCAACTAACACGGTGTAAACTATGAATAAAAATATACAATATGATAAAGAGATATTTGAAAAACAATACAACAATAATTAACAGTCAAGTAGTATAGTGTACATTTTTAAATCAACAACTTTGCCATTTAGTCAGGAACGAGTAAAGCGTATAGATTATTTTATATAAATAATATACATTCGAAATTTCCCGTTTGTTAATAAAAAACACACTCGACCAAGAGATATTACATCCGACTCTTACATGGGCAATTTTTTTACAAAACAAAAACAATGTTTACTCTTTTGGCTTTTATCTTTTTTAAATACAACTTAAGTTTAAGTGTTTAGGAATTACCAGAATTTTAAAGATACATTTATACACACACACACATTTTAGATCTAAAGTCAACACTCACAAGAACCATCATTAGGCTATCCATACAACTATTAATCCTAGTGGAGTCAAAACCATAAGCCTCTCACGTATTTAGTTTTAATGTCCACAGAGGTGGTTTGGCAAAGCGGGTAAGCGGCTTTACCGTCTAGGCTTTTTTTGGAAATTATAATATTTATGTCTGTGGAAATAAGCAAATACTTGGGTGCCGCCTTAGTCTTCATGGTCTCAGTCCTTGCCTGAATATCCAGTAAATGTTTTATCGGTTTACTTCTCTCTCTCTCTCTCTCTCTAAATCATTGTACTTTTATCTCTTTTACTCGAAAAACCTAGATGCATCTGTTTTGGTTGGATGAGAATCAAACATTTTCAAACAAAAGTTGACTAAAGTAAATTTGAATTTGAATTTGCAACTTACTCAAACACTTTTTTTTTATATTATAATATTGCATATCCGTATAAACTATAATGAATACCGTCTTCTGTTATAAGGGTACCAGATGCTACCACCGCCAGCTAACGGCGGTATCAACGAGCCACAAGACTGTCCGTACTGCCGGCGCACGTTCAGCTGCTATTATTCACTGAAACGGCATTTCCAGGACAAGCACGAGCGGTCCGACACGATGCACGTGTGCGAATTCTGCCAGCGACGGTACCGGACCAAGAACAGCCTGACCACGCACAAGAGCTTGCAACACCGCGGCACGACGGGAGCGCTTAAACGCTTTATAAAAACAACCGTCGCCACCGCCGCTTCCGCCGCCGCACCGTCGCCGATCGCCGCCGCTCCGGCTTTGTCCGATCCGCCGTCATCACCAACGTCTCAACCACAACAACAACAACAACAACAACAACAGCAGCAGCAACAGCAACAGCATCCAATAACACCTAATTGTCATTATTATTATTCATCACCGCCGCCACAGCCGCCTATCGAAATCCGTCGACGCCAATTATTACCCGCCCCTACGTATGACGGGCTCTATTATTGATACAAAGTCAATCGATATATTTTATTATTAATTAATTAATTTCTATTTTTTTCACCTTGACAATTGCTACTTCTCTGATACTTTATTTTATATTATTTTTTAACTTAACGACTATCTTGTAATACTTTTTTTTTTGCGCGCGTCGACCGCACTTGGAAATGACCGAATTTTGAAAATCGTTTAAAACATATTAAGTCTTACGATGCAAAAATCTTTAAAAAAATTACTATTATAAAAGAAAATTGCAAATCGTTTCTAGGGCGGCGCATTCTAGTCGCGAGTGATGCAAAAAGGGTACAAAGATCCGCGCGGTGAGAAAATCTATAAAACAATATAATATATATTATTAATAGTCGGATCGTTCGCCTCAAAGGTGTGTTCTCTTCGTATAAAAAAAAAGCATTTAAAATAAAAAATAAAATTATATATAAATATAGACTATAATATATTAACCTAAGTATAATAGGTACATAAAATTAATTGTAATTGATATTTAAATTCTTAAAAAAAAAGTATTTAATATTATTATCCATTTACTTTTTGCGTTCTGCAATTTGACTGAAACGATTGATCTACATGTTTTATTATTATTATTATTATTATTTATATTTTAACTTGACGAATCTAATTATTTATAAGGACATATCATTAAAAAAATTAAAAATAAATACTTGAAAAATCTGTGTACGCATAAACTGGCCGTCGTATACTAAAATACAAAAAGACAATTCCCTATATATTTTTAAACGAAAAAGTCAACACACTTTATATCGTTTGTTTCTTTTTTTAAAATTATCTTATGATAAAAAAAAAATTATACTAGTCTTTGTTTTTAAACGTCACTAGTTGGCTTTTTCATTTCAAAACGCGCAAGTGTATAGTATAATAATATTTATGTTTCTGTTCTCCAATAACCATTAAACATTTTTAAAATAGTTACAAGCTATTGATTATTACGATTTTTCTTTTTTATAGCAATTATGAAGATCTTAATTATATTAATAATAACGTATAATATTACAGCATAGGAACTTGACAGGAATATTTAATTGGCATTATTACAAATTTTCTACTGTTGATAAATACTTTGTTTATTATTTTCTTGTTTATCATTTACAGTTTGATATAATCGTTTACGGCTGTTATATTATTACACTAGATACATTTAACGATAGACTTAAAAACAAAATATATTATATATAATATACATATACATATACAGACTGACAGAAACAATGGGTATTATATTTCATTATTTAGTTATAATTAAAAGATAATTCACATACTTTTTAAAAAATGTATTATTATTAACATTGTTAAACCGTTAAATAATTATTATTTAAAAACAAAATAGCACAAACATTTTCGAAATAACTGCTGCCATGTGTGATGATTTATTATTATTAATTTTATTGTAAATTTTTTATATATATTTTTATTATTATTATTTTGCTACTGTACATTCCGATACCGATGTTATTTATTTGTACAATTCATTTTACTGTGTAAATATAATATATTATTATCTAGTAAGTTATTTGAAGAAAAAAACAATGAAAAAAAAATATCGCGTTTGTCCGTATATTATTTGTTACAAGAACACTTGTTAGTTTCTATACCTATATATATATTTCATAAGCACTGTAATATGTAAATTTCTTTATATATATTTTTTTCTTTCAAAATTTTTTTTTTGTTTTTTTTTATGTTTTGTAAACTTGTATTAAAACCATTATTGTATGAATAATTATAAACTTAGTACAAGTACAGTGTAAGAGGGTAGATATTGTGCCAATTTACAGATATTTTTTTTATTACTATTATGATTATTATATAAAATAAGCTGAGAGGATTTTGATTATAGTTTTGACTTTTTATCTGTATTATATAAAATTGTATGATCAAATTATTACGTCGATCGAATACGATTAAGGTTATGATTACAGTATTATATGTGTTTAAGTATATATATATATATATATATATATATATATATATATATATATATATATATATATATATATATATATATATATATATATATATATATATACTTATATATTTATTCGTATGGCGTAAAAGTGTAAATGAAAACTTATATTAGAGCACTCACTATATATGTATCAGAAATTTTAGTGACCCATTTTATATTATCTGGCGTTATTAAGCGAAATAAAAAAGACATGACCGAAATTTAAGTGTGGAATTAGAATATAAGAATCGAAAATCAGTACAAAATAATTAAATACTTTCAAAATAGTCGAACTTATTGCTCAATGTTATAGACCATGGTAATTATTATTAATTACAACATTCAACGCGTTATATTTAATTAGGTGTCCCATTTGTTTTTTGTTTTTTTTTAATTCATTTATCGGTTTTATTTAGTTTGTAAAAATAATTTTGAGTAATTGATATATTTATAATATAACGAAACGCAAGGTACTTATATAACTTACAATAGTGACTTGAATAATTTCATAGACAGTAAACCGTTATGGGCATTAGACTGCGTATAAATGGCATTTATTAAAATATTTGTTTTTTTAATGTTCTTAATACACGACGTTATCATAAACTTACCTTTCGATTAATCTACTATAATTATATATTCTTAGAATCAATTTTCAATCAGGGTGAATAATAAAATTTAAAAAAAAATAGAACATAATTTTAAATAACAATATGGTTATTATGATTATTCTATTGTGCTACACCGTACCAATTATTTTATACAATAATTTAAAATACCGCGATTATTGTACAATGTTTATCAATACGGGTGTTATGTTATTGACATTTAATTATATTATAACACTTATTACCAATGTACCACATAATGTACCATACCTTCATCAATGTGCTTTTTTTTTTTTTTTATGAAACATATTTTTTTAATGTACTTGTTAACGGCGGTTAATAGTAACAAACCAAATCGGTAAGCTAATACACTGCGGAGTATAATATTTTCAATTAATGTATGTACTCGTTATCGATTAATATCTGCGATAGTTAATTATTTATGTATTTTTACTTGGTAGCTATATACTAGGATATAGGTAGTGTTTTTTTTTACATCGTGGTACCCTTGTGTTGTTATGTTTATATTATTTCTGTCCCACAGACACACACACACAAGTCATAGATTTTACTTAAAACAAAATATTTACTAAGAAAATTGGTTTTGTCAAAGCAACCTTATGAATTATCTACGTATTATTATACTTTAATAAATACTTTTTTTTTCGTTTTGGCAACACACATTTTAACAAACAAAAAAAAGTACAATCATTAATTGTTTAGGTATTTATATTGATCAATGTTTTTTTTTTTTTTTTTGTTTGTATAAACCGAATAAATCCATCTACCTCAAATATAGCTTGATTTCGCAATAATTAATTACCGTTAAGTAACAAATTACAAAGAATGTAATTATAAAGAAAAATTAAAATAAAAAAATAATAATAATAATTATTGAACTTAAATATAGTGTTGTTAAATTAGTAGTTAATAAAAAAAAAAGATGTAAAATTTTGAATTAAAATTAATATACATGTATGTCTGTCATAATTCAATGATTATTTAGGCGTCAAAAACAAAAAAAAAAACAAATCAACGAAAATAATATATTTTTTTTAATTATACAATGTTTTTATTAGTCAAAATTATCGGATGTGTCGACGAATTTTTTTTAATGTGCAATGTGTATTTCAACGTATGTACAATTACAAAAAAAAAAAAAATATTATACTGTGTTATAAAATAATGTATGCAACCGTATTTGTTTATTTTCACATTTCACCGCATGTGTATTGTCGGCACGATTTTGTTATCCTACCGCTGAGCACGGCCGACTCTAGTCGACTTTTAAAACGAGCTGGGACGTATTTGTTCTTCAGTACTTCAGCGACCATTCTAAAAAAAAAAATTGATTTAAGTATTAAAGCCCACAAAATTTGTCAAAAAGTGTCATCATATCTATGTCATCATTTGACAGATTTAATAATTATATATCTGATATACATCATAAATACAGCTATCAAAGTTTGCACTTGTGTTTGCATTTTTAGAAATTATGAGTTAACGATTGCAAAACAACTTATTAAATATCAACTCTATGGATATTATTTGGGAATTAAAGTGTTTAATAATTATTTTAGAGTGCACTTTAGTTGACGGTCAAGAGGTCCCTATCCAATTTAAAGGTATTTGCTATAGGACATTTTCCACAGACAATTAAAATCAATATACTTATAATGTATAACGAACGACAACTATTAATGCACTGTCAAACAATAACAAAATATCACAAATTGATGCACTAACATACGGTGTTTTTAGTTTTATAAGTAATTGTGATTGATTATTTTTAATCTTGACTACTATACTAACATAGGTGTCCTCAAAAATTGGCAAGATTTCTATCCGTGTTACATTTTTTAATTATTTTAATCATTTTACGATGGCTCACAAGCCCCTGTCTTGCATAGTTTTAACTTTTTAACTTTCAAGTACCCTGACACACAAGTTGTGACTTACGAGCTTAACACTTGCTTGTCCATCGTGGATTCTGGAGAGCTAAGAGACATGGCTTCGCACACGGACCTCTCGATGCACATGGACTGTCCATCGTAAACGCTCGCCACCACGTTGCACATCCAACAGTTTGAACTTTCCTTGTCGCTCAGCTGCACAAATAGAAAACACCATTAATTCAAAGGACAGAGCTCGAATAGACAGAGGGGATGAAGACTTGAGAAGTTGAATTTGTTTGTTTTTAGCTTTGACGCGTAAGGCTACACGGAAAACATATTATATTGTTGCAATACCTACTCTAACTATAATAATAATCATGCGACTATGGTTAACATAGGGACACAAAATATTTAGTTAGCCCGACTATTTATACAATTAATCATTATTATAGTTGATTAATGATCCAAATATGTATTTTTTTCTGTGTTAGAAGAATCTTTGTTATGTAAAAGTTAAATGTCAAATGAATCAATTAACAGGTAGAAATAAAAATGATTACATTTTGTCTACTCAACATGTACTAATACTAGAACATGTAGAAATACCATACTAATTACTAGTTGTTAATTATTTCTTATTTCTTTTATACAATTTGTATTTCTTATAGAATTAATGTGTACTTCAAGAACAGTCATAATACAGTGTACATATTTTAGACTCGAATATTTTTTGGGGGGTTTGATGACATTTTTTAGTGTACTCTAAGCCCGTTCTTCCCTGTACTCGCTTCACTGGTCCAACTTAGTACTTATCCATTTACAATTTATCGTTTATTTTTGTACATTTTGAATATTATAGAATTTTTGTTTTTGGATCGCAAGCGTGACCCTACAAAGCCCTCGGTTTATGCTAATTTCATCGCGCCTTACCGTACCCATCGCAAATAAATCCTAGTTACTGCATTTATCCGATAACGTTTATACGACCACCACTTTACTACTCTGGCAGCCATTATAGCTATAATTACCGTACGAAGCCCATTGAAAAATGTTTACGCGGTGTATAATATTAGTATATAACAGTATGCACATTGTACAGCACGGTAATGACGGCATACTCGGTTCTCCCACCCGTTAAACGATTAGACAGCCCGACAATACAGTATAGTATTATGATTACACATTTGGGTGGAGACCCGTACACGTCTAGTCAGTGTGGTAATGCTGTCGTATGTGCACTTGAATTTGTTCGGCGGCGTTTAAAAAACAATATTATTGTGTACAACGATTCAAAAATGTTGTATAATAATTATATTTTAATCGGATTACAATTAAACGTCGACTTGAAAATGCACTAATGCATGCACTCGTCTGAGTTCTCGTGTCGACGTGCGGGTACCTACCGAAAGTGATGACGTCATATTCACTACACGTGACGTTTTCGACGCAACCATGAAAAGTGCACTTGGCCCGCTGTAATCGAAACCGGTAGGCATGTTTGATAATTGATGTTATAGTGTTATAAAACAAACGCTTAAATTATAAAATTCAATGAGAAATGTTTAAAATGTAACGTCATATTACTCAGATCTTAGTTTCTAATAACTCATTAAAAATCGCAAGTGTCAAAATTTAGTCTCTGTTTTTAATGATATTGTTCATAGGAAAAGTGCATTTCCTGAGCTATTTTATTTTATTCATGATTGACTGAGCAACTGCGGTGTAATAGCTGGAAAGAAATATTTAATAAATACAAATATAGATTTTCCTTTGCTATAGTATATTCATTTACAAGATTATATTTTATGAGTTACGTAGAAAAATCGCTTTTATATTACTCCTAAATAGGCGGAATGACACTCGGTGGGTTAGGTTAGTATTGTTTGATTTTGAAAATGTAATAACTTATAAAGAATTTGGTAAAAAAATAAAGCCTAATGGAAAATTAAACTTTAAAGTTCATTTGCCAAAAGTTACAAAAAGTCAGATTTGCTATTTTAGATTCAATCCAATGATTTATATATTATAGGTAAACTGCTCACGCAACCATATTATTAACAATCGGCTTATTATAACATAAACGAAAATGATAAAAATTAGCTAGGCTGTGGTATATAGCAATGGTGCAGCCTAATATCCAATGCGTAGCTTTTAATAAAAACTATTAAACATTATAAGAGAGAAAAAATGGTATATAATTAAATATGAATAATTAAGGTGTATAGAACGAAAAGAAGATAGGGCAATCATGTACAATGACAATAATAAAACCACTGAGTAGTCCGTTAACCAATTTATTGATTTAATTGTTTCTAGTTTATAGGACAGTTTAACTAATAAAAAAATATATATAGCTTCACCAAACCAACCAATTAAGTTTTATGATAAATTAAGACCCTTCATTATTATTATCAATAATAGTGAAAATTGAAGATATTGGAAAACATTTCTATTAAATCATAAATGTTAACTACATATATTAACTCCACAAAATTGGTTAAAATTCAACTTATTTGTTAATACCTACTTATTTAATAACGTAGTATTGAATTACAAGAATAAACTGTCTTATAGTTTTATAATTTCTCTTAGAATGTTTTTAAAGAACTGCTTACTTATCGTCTATTTTCTAATTTACGTTGAGTTTGATTAAAAAGTGTATTATGGGTCAATTTGGTAATAAGTGCGCCCCAATTTAACTTCAGGGCCTCAAATTTCCTAGTTTTAGGGTGCCCATTCGAACACTATACCAATATTATACTTTATTAATTATTCTTTAAAAAATATTAATTATAATATTTTAATTTTCCACACCAAAAATCTTACTAGTTTACTTTCTCGGAATTATTTAGTTTTAACTTTTACAGAGGAGCAAAAACTGCTAATACTTGTTGTTTATTGGAAATAATTGATCCAGAAAGACACTATAATATCTGCGTTTATGAAACCAAATTGTTATTAGTTTTAAGTTATTCATAAATTATTTATTTACGAATAGAAATTGAATTTTAAAAAATCTTTTTTTTTTCGTATAAAATATACTTGGTATATTTTAAACTTAATGAAAAATACAACTTAGCTATTAGTTATTACCTTTTCCAAGTATTTTGTCATCGATACTGTCATTGACACGCCATTGTCCTCGTCCGCTGCACGTCTCCTGCGCACTGCACCCAAATGCAACAGCAAAGGGTTGCCTATGAGAACGGCCAAGGCGCCCAGCAAAGCTATTCCGGCCAAAGGCACTACCAACGGTTGTTTGTCGAGTTCGAACACTTCTGGACTGTCACCATAAACCCCACCTACTCCTCCTCCTCCTCCTCCCGCTGCAAAAGGTGGTGGCCCGTGATAACCATAATTGTCCGACGACTGTTGATGATTTGGCCTGTAGTGATTTGGAGGTCTTTCTTCATAATAGTAACCGTCCGTGGGAGGACCGTAAGAGTTTTGTACTCGACCGCCACCGCCAGAAGAGTAATAGTCTCCTTCGTAACCTGCTTGAACTCCAACCGATTATCACACACAATATATTAACTACTCTGATAGTAATTAAGCATAAATGCATTCAAAAGAAGGCATTAAATTAAGCATATTTAAAACGAAAATATTACCTTGGAGACACCTTTCAATTATTATAACCGAAACAAATTTTTAGTAAGTAAAAATCGGACTGTTGACTATTTTTTTATAATTCAATTTAGGTCAAAATATAATATTTTTTTATTGTGTATGGTGCGTAAAAAAAACTAACTCAAATTATGAGCCTAGAACATTATCCCGCACTCTATCGAACCAAAAAGTTTATTTAGTAAAATGAATTTATATGTTTTTAACAAATATATTATTATTAAATAAAAATAAAGCTATTAATTCAATTGAGTAATGTCTATAATAAGATATGGACATTGTACATTCAATAAGACAATATTAATTTTTTATTTTAACAACTTTATTAAATAACAATCTTGATAAAATAAATACTATTAAGTTGGTGAATTCTGTATTTAAACTAATAATTTAAATATATTCAAACAATTTTTAAATTAATAAATTATTAGATAAAAAAAATAAAACAATTGTTATTTTAAATAAATCATTACTCAGTTACCTTATATTTTACATAGTAAATATAAAATATATACTATTGCTGTCTATTGTGAAATAAAAAATGAATTTTATTAATCCATTGTTTAGGTTAACAATTTCTACTCAATAAACATTTTTTTGGCTTTAAATCGAGAAAAAAATTTCACATATTTTATTAAATTAACCGGGATTTTTTATAGGATAACTGGATGACTTTTTTATATTGTGTAGTTCGTAATAACTATGCCACATTGTAATGCCATTTTTTGTCAGTCATAATTTTGTGATCTCTAGATTCCACTAAGCTTTTAGTGTATATTTTATTAGCCGACTTCAAAATTCTATTATCTCTTGTTTAAAATTGATATGGATTATCGCGAAAGATAATTTATTTAAAATATAAACAAAAACAACACTTTAACGACTTTTGTTTTTACATCGTCATCATTAAAACTTGCAAGTTTTTATAGTTGACAATATTCAGACCATCTTCTTATTTGCTGGTTTACACGGTTATACTGACACCTACGTGGTTGTTTTTATTAGACAACTTTATAGCTGTATAGTTTTATTGTCACTTCCTTCAAAAAACCATCAGATTTCGCCGTACATATCTGAACTAGGGCATTGTATATTCCATGAACGCTCGTCATTGACAGCGTTGACAGTGATTTTATAGCATATTTTGTTACAGTAAGCGTTGAATAAAAATAAATAACAGTGATAAAATTGGAAAAATATATTGTTATTAGCTATGGGTTGTTATTTTCTGTGTGTTATTATTTTTTTCCTTAATGTGATTTATTTAACATACACACAAATGTAGAAAATGCATTAAAATTGTTTTACCTAATGCGTCAATTGCGTTTGAATATGTTTCATTTGTTTACAGTCACGTCGGTTTTGAGATTGACAATTTTTTATATTTTCAAAGTTTCATAACATTAAGTAGTATCTAAGTATTAAATAAAGGATACAATAGTAAAAGCTTTATGGTAGCTCGCATAATACCTCATTGGCTCCATAAGCCGAGTTTTGACCTATCGCAGTGCTTTAATATAGAGCTATTTTAGCTATTGTGATAAATGGTAACGTTTTGGAGTGGTCATATTACTGATTTTTAGGCTTTAGATTTCTATTCTTTGCCTATGGAAAACTCATTAATGCACATAGTATTAGCTGATATATACTATATTGTTTTGTTCACTATGGTACGTACCTTTACTGGATACACGGTTTCCGGTATCTTTGTGTTGCTGTTGACGGTGATCGATTTCGTTTACTTGAAATTGACTTGCCGCCAGACTGTCAGGTACATGTTTTTTGTCGTCGAACACTACTTTTGAACCATTTTTGGGCGATTTATCTGCAAGTACCGCTTCGGTGAAAAACCGTGGCACACAGGCTCCCAAGCAGATAGCCCAAACAAGTATTACTCGAACCATGTTTGCACAAAGACCAGAAACGACTGATCGCCAAAATTATAAGATACACCATAACGTACTTATCTTACTACATTTAATTCGAGTTCCACTATGTGTAACGAGACCGAGTATTGTTATAGCGAATTTCACCACAGAAAATTACCTTATTGTTTCAGACACGCAACTATATCATCACATGATATATTGTCGTTCACTTTCTACGAGTTATTTTCCAGTTTTTTTATAATTATTGCACTGTCGCGTTGCGCCGAGTTGTGTTTAATTAACACATATGTAATTAAATAATAATAATAAAAATATTATGTAAAAAGTGTTATGATTACTAAGTACGAGTTTTCTAAAAAATAGGTAGGTATATATACATTTGCAAAAAAATAAAAATGTCTCCCTTTATAGTTGAGTTAATTTTTTGTTGTGATATTACAAACAAAAATTGTTATATTATTTTGAATACGATATAAATAATTATAACAAAAAGTTAGCATAGGTTTATGGTTTTCTTTTAAACTTTTCTGGATTAAAACAGTTAATACTAATCTGGTAAAATCAAAATTATTTACTTCTGTGAACTCTTTCCTTTAATAGCAGTACTATTCTGAACAGAGAAACTATACTATTTAACATCTAGTCGGGTATAAACTTTATAGTATAAAGTTCAAAAAGGCAATATTCACTCACAGTACAGCATGCTCGCTCTATCCAAAAGTTTTCGTACTAAATATTGGTCGGTCGTATGAACAGTAGATGGTGGTAAATACATGTGTATAATTCTTCTTATAGGATGCATAAAGATGTATAAAAGAAAGATAACTATAATAGTAAGATGTAATAAATGAAGTCGTGTACATCATAAATTTTGTTTGCTGTTATTTGATACAATGGGTTATGTTAGGTTTAAACCAACACAAGCTTTAGACAATGGCTAAATAAACAGGCATGATTGCCAGAGAATAACATGCAGGAAATTGCCTGCGACTTGAAAAAAAAAAAATGAATGTGTAAATTTCTCATTATAAGTTATAATATCTTCCAAGACTAGGAAAAAACGCGTGAAATTGTGCAAAAATAGGAAAAGTTTGTAATCTAGCAATCATGCCTGTTTATTTAGTCATGTTTTAAACTAAAACAAACAAACATTTGTATTATCTGCTCTCTTACAATAATAACATCAAAAGCACTTATAGATACTTAAGTATCGTACTTATAATGATATAGTAACAGCTACTTACTAATTTTCTTAAATAAAATATTAAATATAATTTATTTAAATTTTTGAGGACACCATTCGTAATGTAAGCTATACTTAAAGTATATGTTTTATATATTTTTATATGACAAAAAAAAAATATTTAATATTATGTTTTATTAATATTAAATATTAATAAAAAAGTTATGTTTTAGCAGAACGTTAAATGTTTCAAAACTATTTTTTACAAAATTTTTATGTATTATGAAAATATTTCTAATGTTTTACATGCATTTTAAAAATTATAATACTAATTTCAATATTTTAACAACATTTAGACAATAATTTTGATGTATTATTTTTAAAAAAAGTAAACTTCTGCCGAAACTTTATTTTGAAATAATAACAAACTTTTTAATAACATTATAACTTTTTTGCTGTATGGGAAGCGTGTAAGCTATAATATTATACACCCATAGAGATAAAGTTTGTTGTTGTTTGTTATTAAACAATCGTTTAACAAGTAATTTAATATATTTGTTGTATATTATCTATCGTAATATTGTTTCTTATGGACGTTGTGGTAGCCATTTTTATAGATTAGACTTTTATAACCCATCACATTCTATTTTTATTATTTGATATTTTAGGGGCCTAACTAATATAATATGATGTCTCCGCCCTTTCAAAGAACTATAATAACGTTTTGCGGTCGGTTTGAAACTCTCACAGTTAACATCAAGTGAAATAACGATGTTAGTTGTGGCCGCGAATAAGCACCTTTTGTGCTCGTGGGTACAGATATTTTGGAAAAGTTTGTGCTACGTGGAGGGTTATTTATGTCAATTATCTAAACGTCCCAAGTCGTTTTCGGTATTAGTTTAGTGTCTAGTTGAGTTGTGAAATTTTGCTCAGTTTAATATGGTCTCGAGGACATTACTCAAGCCGAAACATTTAATGAGTTAATTAATATAGACCTGAATTATATAACTTTAATCAAAATTGTCACAAAAGTTTTAATATTCTAAACATCTATTTACATAATGTTTTCAATAAAAAAAAAAACAATTATTAATAACATAATTCAAATTTCAATTATCTATTCTATATATTATGCATATACTAGAAAATATATGTTATTTTTTAATTATTTTATTAGCTAACTTAAGTATATAATATGTCAAATCAAATTCGTATTATGTTATTTGCATTTCCTGTTTAATGTTAAACTATTATATTTTTATTTTAGGTGTTTTTTTTTTTTGTTTACTGGATTTACTCTAAAGTGAATTTTATCTTTAATTGTTTTCCTTGTATTACGACCAAAGTTTTGGAACGAGACTTTTTATAACTCGTTCCACGAGTACTTAAGTTAATTAGAAAATCGAGTACGCTACGACTTTTCTGTACTACGCTTCACCAAAGGAGTACTAGGATTTAGAAGTTGCACACGATGTTGTATCTAACTATATTAAATCACAAGTACAAACACAAGTGTCTCCTAGTGGAACCTTTGAGTGTACTATTAAAGACTAAAGTCATAAATAAAATTAAAAAATACTTAGCGAATAAATATAGTCCTTGGAGCTATATTTTGTAGAGGAAAAATCAAATCAAGATAGCATAACTAACGTGGTCTATAATAACAGACGATCTGTGTTCATATTATGTACAAAATTATACACATTTGCAAAATGAGCTTTCAATGACGCAGCTTTTAAATGAAACTTTCTTTAGGGATTTTTTATACTTTACAAACATGGGTTCTTATAATACTACAGTTTACATGGGAATATGTTATTTCTAGACCACTCTGAACTGAGTAAATTTAACACTAAAATATTATAACTCATAATACAACCCGATACTCGTATTAATATATTTGGCTTAAAGCGCTTGTGCTATTAAAATTATATTAAACGTATTTCTGTCAGGAAAATTAAACACCACTTATAATCGACATCATTGTTTTAGATTTCGCGGATTCGATTTTTTTTAAGAAAAGCGGGCAATTGTAAATCGTGCGGAAATTATTAGGCCAACAATTTATTATTAGTTATGAATTATGATAAATTACACAGGGTTTTTCATAATGCCCAAAAGGTGGTAGTATACTGTCTATTTTACAAACTGCCAGTATAATTACTAGTAATAATAATAATTTACTGGTGGTTTTGGAGCGACTGAAGCAGGTTTGAGTCATGTGTGCAAGATTTGTTCAATGTAAGAGGGCAGGTGATGGGTTTGGAAAACGTTGATACGACTACAATAAAAAGTTATATTATTTCGATGTTTACAATTATCATGAACGTGGTCAGATACGTTTATGCAATATATGTACACATTATATACAATTTGTTTTTGGTGTGTACGCTTGAACTCGTGTGGCTTTTAGATGCTCTTAGATGCTTTTAGAATTCTCCCGCATGTCTATATGTTTACAATATGTGTAAGGGCTATAGCCCCCAACGGAAGAGCATCATTCATGTTACGCCTATGCGTCTTCTTTGCTAATCGTGTAGATAAAATTGATTGAGAGAAATTATTATTGGAACGCAAGACGTGACACTATTCCGGTAGCAATTTCCGGTCATCGACGTGGATCACGTGTAATGACATTGTAATAAGTCTTGTGATGCGTTGTGTTAAGCTCACGGTTGTTGACACCGCGGTAACTTCCGTTAATCTGGAGGGGGAAAAAATAAAAAAACAAGAGTAAAATACTGCCGGATCTCCCGACGATCCGCGTGGGGACCGGTGCCGGAAGTAGGGATAGGGACGGCTGGCGGGACGGTGGATTATTATAGTAATCAATAACTCACCCCATATCCACGGCGGGACCATTCTCGGCGTGGCGACGACACAAAGCGTGCGGGATCCGGCGCTTGCGCGACCGCTCGGCTCGTCGTCGCTCCGCCGTCGGACGCCGTTATCAGCAAATAGTAACCGTTTCGCGCCATCCACCGGAGGACCAAATCCGCCGCAAAGGGACACGGCCGCCACAGTGTTTGTCCGACTCCGTCCCACGACGACCGTCGCCACCGCTGCAGCCGCCGCCGTCGAGGCCGTCCACAACGAAAGCCCCGCACGACACGACAGCCGTCGCCGACTGGACGATAGGTCGACTGTGACAGACCGGCCCATGTCACAGACTCGTCGACGCGTACGAATATTAGACGTCAACTGCCTGAATACTGATAACAAATAGGTGAGAGAGTGTAAGACAATAATTATTAAAGTGTTTTCAATAATAATAATATTTTCTTATAAAAAAAGTCGACTACCGTCTAGGTCTATCGCCATTCTTGTGCACAAAATACGGTTTTGTAAAATTGGAAACTAATACTGTTCGAATAATGTACTATATAGCTGTACTACCTAGTTACAACTGATTACTGATAACCCCTGAAAACAATAACAAACCATCTCAATTCTTACATAGCAAATTTTTGAAATGTACTTGAATGATATATTGAAATATTGTTAAAATACTTTTACATTAAACGTAAAACGAATATTATAATAGCTTGTAATACTGCCCAACTTTGCTCAACAAAATATAAACAAATATTCAAATTTCTAAATTTCTGTGTCAGATACGATTATGTTAGTTGTTAATGAATAGAGATATAAATCCGTTTAAAGAAGTTAATTTATTATAATATGAATGTTGTATATATTAGAATACATTCAGTTGAAAAAAAAAGTTGAAACAATTTTTAATATTTGTAACCTGTAGATACGAATCAGGTAGAAGAGAGGTCACAGTGGTCACAATACTCAACCGCCGGTTCTAGATCTTTTATCAAATATTTGTCAAAAGCTAGTCTTAGCTTTTTATAAAATATAAATGCAATAAAACAATATTAAGTTGTCAAAGTTTGGTTTAGGTTAGGGTTAGGTAGGCTTAACATTTTTTTCGTTTACATGGCTGTAAACAATTAATCACTTACAATAAAGTAGAATTATAAATACTCGAGTTATATTGTTTTAATAACATTTATAACAATTATAAAATATTTCTAAAGAAAAATTTACTCTTATGGGTTAAGTATTTGACAAATGTGTAAACTTATTTCATTTTTAAACAAAATTTAATAAATAATTGTATTTATTGCATT